GCGATGAGTGGTGTCCCGCGCCGACCGGGCTTCCGGCTCGGCGGTCCCCAGCAGCCCTTAGGCGGTCAGTTGAATACTGGACTCATCTCGAAAGAGTGAGCGCCAATTAATATCGGAACGATACAGAGAAGATTAGCATGGCCCCTGCGCAAGGATGACACGCACAAATCGAGAAAGGAATCGATACTTTTTTTCATACCCAACAGTACTAAGAGCTGAACTCATGGAGAAGCTACACAATAAACTATCAAGAGTCCATGGTGAGGACTCCCTTTTTTGATGCCACCTCTGGAGTGTCATTGATAAGTTATACGAAAACTGTACATCGCGAATTGTTATCCATTCAATTTCTGACGATTATACGATAGGAATTCCTAAAATACGGCCTTCGTGAAGGCTCGGTTCTCTCCCCGATTTTATACGCAATTTTTATAGATGGCATTGTCGACGAGATGCGTGACTGCTTGGGAGTAAGCGCCAATGGTTCTATGTTCAAAGCCCTATTGTACGTTGACGATATTATTCTTGTCAGCAAGTCAGCAGAGGACCTCCAGAAAATGCTCGACTGCTGTCAGAAATACGCGGACGATCACTCGTTCCAATTCTCTATGAAGAAATCTCAGGTCATTGTTTTAGGTGAAGACGTCGACTACGACTTTCAGTGGAAACTCATGGGTGAAAACATGGCTCAGGTCAACAATTACAAATACCTGGGCCTTGTATTCCGACGATGCCTCGGTCATCATCAAAGATGTTTTGCTACCCTCCAGACCCTCCGCTTAAATTGCAACGACATGAAGTTCATCGATGATAACCCGAGCACATGCTTGGTCTGTAATAAGTCCTCAATGCTAGTGGGCTGTGTAACTGGCGACCCGTCAGTCATTATCTGCAAACTATGTGGTGGCGATTTCCACATCGATTGCCTGGGCCTTAGTGCGGTGCCCGACGGAGATTATGTCTGCAATCTATGCTCACTACCAAACCCTTCACTTACCCTGGAACTGGAAGAACGTATAATTGTCGATATACGAGCTTCTGATCGGATGTATCACACATCCCTCTCGTACTTTGCGGTAACTGATCGCATTGACCAAGTAGATCCTGAACGTAAAGAATATGCATTTTCGACGGATAAACTCCCTCGTATGATGGATACCTGGATAATTGGCTATTCCTCAGTACATGGCGCCAAACAGACCTCCCCAATTCAAATCTCAGGACCCTTGGGAGGGAGCTCGTGTAGATATCTGCAAGATACTCTCTATGTTAGGGTGCAATCTTGATAAAGTGGGCTGCAATCCTCTTGGAATCCCAACATACATTTCAAAGCAAGCCACTCGAACCTTAGTGTTATCGTTCGCATTGTCAGATTCTGAAATTTGGCAGAACGGTGTTGAGTGCGAATCAATCCAACAGGAAATGGACACTATTTATAGGAGGCTCTTGGGTGTGCCTACTAAAACCAATAAAACTGCCTTTCACTACGAACTTGGACTTATTGACCAAAGTTTCCGCGGCCAAGTTTCCGCTCTTAAGTCCAGAAACTATATCATAGGGCTTCCTAGTCGCCGTTTGGTCAAACGTATGTATACTGCGTTACGTTCGGAAGTCTGTACCCAAAAGATCGATCCCAAATATATACAGAACAGTGTCACTGCCTTCCTCGAGCCTCTAGCGATCGATTTAGACCGGTGCGAACACGTTCCCGGTGCTGTAACTGCAAAAGCTAAAGCCCGCGACACCTTATGTCATCTACAGATGAACAAATTATTAACTCAATCAGCAACATCTATTACAATTCAGACTCTTATGAAGTGGTCAACCTCATACCGTACGGCCTCGTACCTTCCCCGTAATCCACACACTTTTCGGGATCTCCGTGAAGATCGAATTTTGAAAACTAAACTTCGTCTCACTTGCTTCGAGGCATTGGGCAAAGGGTACGTCCACAAAGAATCTAGTGATTCTGACGCACGTCTTACTCGGGCTAAATCCATCCCATACTCCTTATGTTGCCATCAGCGGTGCAAAGAATCAGTATATCATATTCTGGGAGATTGTACCGCCTACGCTGTGCCTCGTCAGGATTTTTTTAGCAAAATAAGCGAGAAAATTCCTCTTTTTGATTCTCTATCAATTCATGCTAAGGTTGATCTCATCATGTATGATAATACTCCCCATTTTGTTGATACTTTCATTTATCGATTCTTGTTTAAACCCTACCAAACTCGTGCTAAGTTGGTTGATCTGACTAGGCCAGGAGAAGGTCCCTCGGGACTGGACATCCTGTGATTTTTATTACATTAGGAATTCCTACACATTAGGGAGGTTCACTTTTTTTGAACAAGTTCTGAACTCAGAGTTCAGGCGATAGTTCAAAAACGCAAATACGCTGTTAGGAAATGTTCTGAACTTGTTCAAAATATTTATTGGCTGTGAGGCTGACTGGCCGTGCTGTGCGCTTCTCGTGGTGAGGCTGACGTGTCCTGCAGAGAACAAAACGTCAAACGCGACGCAGAAAAAGTTGAATTTGCACTCAACTGCATTGGGTCACGGAAATTGTGATAGGCTATCACGGAAATTGTTAGGGTGTCGCGCGGAAACTGTTTTCGCTGCGCGCGGCGCGAAGGGCGGCGCGCTTCGGCGGCGCGTTTGTCGCGCCGAGCGCGCGGCGGCGGCGCGCGTCGATCGCGCCCGGGCGCGTCGAAAACGGTGCGCTACGGAGCGAGGACGGCCGCCGGGACGGACCCCGCGGCACGCAATAAACGCCGTTCAACCCTCGTATTTTCCAATGTGCAAGGCAGTTCTGAACAAGTTCAGAACACCGAGTTCTGAACTCAGAGTTCAGAAGAGTTCAGAACTCGTTGTTCTGAACAAGTTCAGAACATTTCCTAACAGCGTATTTGCGTTTTTGAACTCAGTTCTGAACTTGTTCAAAAAAGTGAACCTCTCTATTACATACAATAATTGAGAGGACCCGAAGGGTCCTCGCCGTTTAATCAACGTCAGTTTACGGCAAGGGCCCTTCGGGTCCTTTGATTGAAGGATTACCAGGGGCAATTATGTCTGTCTGTCCGTCTGTCCATCTGTCTGTTTGTCTGTCTGTCCGTCGCCGGGTCCATCCGTGAGGTTCCACCTTTGGGAAGAAAAGGGCAACAACTCGGCCGATTCAGCGATTGGTGGTTGATGCGATTGCTAAAATTGGGAGTGGAGGTCGAGCAGGAGCCTCATTGGAATCATCATAGAAGAAGTTTTTGGTCACAGGTTCGAATCTGGTCGG